ACTCGGCGGCCTGGCGTCGGGCCGCTGTGACATGTCTCCTTGCTCCTGTGGACACTGCTCTGAGGTACATTTGACAAGGGTACTTGGGACAATGTTAGGCGCTGCTTTCACATCCTGCTTGCCTTGTTAATTCGACACCTTGAACTCTACGCCATTAGCCACAGGATTTCGGTACGATTCCGTATCCTCCTTTTTTGGGCCTCTGCTCACAGAGGTACTACGACCAACTAAGACAACCACGTGACCAGCTGGTGCAGAGAGACGGCTTGTGGGGAGCTTGGGTCGTCCCTGCGTCGCGGGGGAGGGCTGACGCCCACGCGGACGGGAGACTCCTGACCAGGGGTCCTCAGACTTTTTAAACAGGGGGCCAGTTCACTGTCCCTCAGACCATTGGAGGGCCGGACTATAGTTTAAAAAGAAACTAGTCGGCTGCTAAGCAACAGGCAGCGGCGGCAAAAACACCCGGCGGGCAGGATAAATGTTTTCGGCGGGCCGCATGTGGCCCGCGGGCCGTAGTTTGAGGACCCCTGCTCCTGACAGAATCACCCGACAACAGGCAGACTTTAGCGTAAACAGAAGCAGGTCTTTCTTGTGACACAGCCCACAGCCAGCACCTGCACAGCCCGGGAGCCTGAGGCAGGTCTACACTGCAGGGGGTGCTACACAAATCACTTTTGTTCTCCCCAAAAAGAGCTAATGGATATATTTTCATTTTAGAAGTTTAATAAAGGTAAGATGGTTCTATGAATGGCAAGTAGCGACTGACTTATTTGGGGCTAATTAAAATTTATTGATCCATAAGTTAGTCTCTAGTGAGTAAATCTCAAAATACGCCTCAAAGTAAAATCAATTTGGCTTTTATTACGTACGTAAATCTGCAAAGAACATTTCTTCAGAAAGAACAAGAGAACCATGAGGAATGTGGAGATTGCAGAGGGAAGCTGTAACAGTTTTCCGGAAGCTCAGGAGAGAACAGGAACGAGCTGAGGTTGGCTGCTCCCGGCCCGTCACCTGACTACTGTGGATGTACCTCCGTGAACGCTTTTATGAAAAAGATCGCTGCTTATTAAAAACCCAGCACCCTGACATGTTAGAATTTACAGCTAGTAAACTGAGGCCCAATTTATTTAGGTGGAACGTGTATAAACTCCTCCTTGTTAACCTGCTGGTTTTCGGATAAGGTTGAATTTGTCTGCACAGGAGCACCGGGGCTTCTGTGTGGGGTGTGCAGTCACGGGGTCTGGGGGGCAGGGGGGGAGGAGTGCAGTGCGGGCCCCCCTCCGGGGGAGCACAGCAGGGAGGGAGCGCAGGCGGCCTTACCTCCGAGGCATGTTGTGCGGGTAAGGAATGACGATCAGCTGCGAGTTGGGGATGATGGCGGTCCACTCCTGCTTCCGCACCGACTGCAAGGAGGAGGGAGGACTCAGCATCTGGTCCACTTACCCTCTCTCCTCTCCACGAAGGAGCGGACAAGCGCGCTCTGGCTTCATGGAGCCCTGGGCACGGGAAGCTGCATCACATACACAGCGCCCAGGCAGGGCTCCCTGAGGCACAATGTGTGTGGTCTTTCAGGGAAGGGTCGCATTTCCGCCTCCGGGTGCGTTCATTCAACAAACAGTATTATTTATGCGCAGCCGTCACCTTTCCCAGTGCTGCGTACTGAGGCCGCTTGGAGCTCAGAGCGGAGGGAGTCTGACAAGCACGTGAGACTCGGTGAGTGAGCTGGCGAGGAAAGCAGGCGGAGGGCCAGGGGTCACGAGGCTCATGGCGAGGAGGCGGGAACTCTAGCTTCCCATTAGGACGTGCTCCAGCCAGGCCACTACCAGCAATTCTCTTAGCTCTTGATTTGAATCATTGCAATTCAATTCAAGATTCTGAATTCAGATGTTTGAACAGTGAATATTAGAATATAGGTTACTTGTAAACAAAATGTATTTGTACTCGCCTTCTCTCCAGATGGACGGGGAATCCCGACATAAAGATGATCGAGGAAGTTCGCACTTCGACCTAAGCCAAGTACATTGTAGGGCAGCTGGAGAGCTAGATGTGCCGACTGGCTGAGTTGTCCAGCTACGTTTATTAAAAAAAAAAACACCTTTGGAAACAATGCTCATCAAATATTAAAATGATAAACTGGTAAAAATATGAATAGAATCTCAGGCGAAATCTTTCGTTCTAACAAGTCTGGCCCTGCAGTTTCTCATTTTCTTTGATTTTTCAGACTATGTCTGACTCACTGCATCTGTGCAGACGGGACCTCTAACTGCTGAGCAGCTGAATGAGCTGCACACTTTCTCAGTTTCTCACACTCTGTGTTATGTAAGGCGTTCATTCACTCAGCCATCCCATTTCTGTCCTTATACCAAAGGGAGGGGTCAGCTGCCGCTTAGAGGTATCTGCATCGTCCCTCCGTCCCTCCCTCTTTCCTTCCAGTGAGAAAAAAATCACTATCACTAGTTGAGCCCCCATCCCCCCGTTGACTTGGCTCATCCTGTCAGATCTTTAGTTGATGTGAGATTAAGGTAAGGGGACAATTCTTGCAAAAACTCGTTTTTTCAGAGAGAAATCATGTCATGGATATTCCAGAGGGCATTCTAGCTTTTTCCATTCTCTTTTGTTACCGATTTTGACACAAAAATAAGCCTGAATAATGTTTGCTCAAGCTAAAGAAAGATAATACCAGCGAGTCCTGGATATTCTGGTTTAACAAGCATCTGAATTAAAATGTAAAGAAGTAATTTGTTCAAACTGTCTATATCCTCATTTACGTTTCCTTGACCAACATCGTCTATTAAAGTGTTTGATTATAATTGCTTGTCAATTTCTCCTTGAAATTTGAAAGTTTTTGTATTATGGGATGTTTCTGTGCGGAGGCAGGAGCATGGCTGGGAGTTTAAACGTGTACAATTAGCTAAACAGGAGGCTCACTGGGGTGCACTGCTGTGAGGCCGTCAGATACAACAAGAAGGGCCGTACAGTGAGCTCTCCCATATTCCGGGTCCATAAAAATGGAGAATAAAAGCAACTCGGCTGATGCTTCTTCACGGCGAGGCCCCTGGAGCCTCAGAGAGGCACTGAGAGGTACGGTCCTGTTCTTACTTAGAGAATTGGGACGATCACAGCTGCGTTTACTGCGACCTGAACCCCCTCTCAGGCCGCCAGCGTCTGTCAAGAGCTCACACCCTTCGCTTAGTCTTACTTCTTTTTTGTCTGAATTGCATTTCCCTTTATTGTTGCTTCAAAAGTAGAGCTAGAGTTTTTCTTAATGATCATATATCAAAACTAGCTCTATGTAATATTCTAGCTTCTATTCCACTAGGAAAAAACTAGGATTACTTTAGGTTGTAGATTGGATTCCTAATTTTTATTTCTTCTGAGAGGCGCTTTGCTAACTAATTTACCATTGCACAATTTGATCAAGGTAACTCCAGTAATTTCTCTCAATCTCTGCTACTTCAACTGAAGAATTGTGTAACAACTTGGCTTCATCACAATCGGGAAATCTGAGGAATTGATATATTTGTCATGAGGAGCTTCTGTGATCTGCTGATGAGCGTCCACAGAAAGACTAGGTGTGATACGAAGGGGAAGGTTTATGAAGCGCGTGAAAGCCTGCTAGCTGTTGTCACCAGCTGACTTTGCCAGTAGACTGACTGCAGGGGTCCTGTGCGTTGTGAACTGGTGCCGGTCTTACCTGAACCATTTTTCGGATATCCATTTGCATCCACGGTTGTGTACATGATGTAAGGGCCGGGCTGGTTCACGCCAAAGGGCTGCAATAAAAAAAAGAGTTGAGCCTGGGGCAGTAGTGAGTCATATTGTTGGACGTCTAGGAGCTGACGTTGTCTCTCATATACGGGTCAGCGTCCTGAGCAGTTCTCCTCGGAGAACGGTCACTACTTGAAGGCGGGCAGCCCCCTGAGAAGCCCCGCCCTCAGCATGTCTGCATTCCCCAGTCTGGAGCTGCTCTGTGTGAACAGCCCTACCAGGCGGGCCTGTTTGTTAAAAACAATCTTCAGAGTGCCGATGTGATGGTAACCTATGACAACTAGTTTGTGTGCATCTATTTTCATGCAAAGAATTTCTCAGAAATATTTACAACTGAGAGTTTACTTACTGTTATCTTACGAGGACAGTCATTAGAACAGAGGCCACTAAGAACTGTGGAGAAATAAAGAAAAGGCTCTTTATTATCCTATATAGTAAAAGCACAATATGCAAATTGACTGAATGGCGGAATGACCGGTCGCTATTTCGCGCACTGACCACCAGGGGGCAGACGCTCGACGCAGGAGCTGCCCGCTGGTGGTCAGTAGGCTCAGCCAGAAGCCGGGCTCACAGCTGGCGAGCGCAGCAGCGGTGGTGGGAGCCTCTCCCGCCTCCGCTGCAGGTGGAGAGTAAGGAGCAAGAGGTCCCGGACTGCGAGAGCCCCGGACTGTGAGAGGGCGCAGGCTAGGCTGAGGGACAACTCCCCTCCCACCCCCCCCCTGCACGAATCTCGTGCACCGGGCCTCTAGTTACTGATAAAATGTAAGCTTATATTTAAAGAAAACTCTTACTGTTTCACCTAAAATCTATTAATATGCTCTTTCGGTTGATAATCACACACAGAAACCAATTCATTTCTTTAGATCTGAGTAAATTAAATTTTTGTTGTTCACTTTATACCAGTGTTTCAAAAGCCTTTGTGAAGCAATCAGAATGCTAATATATAGGTGCGATAATTCTGGTTACATCCAGCTATAGCTACTGTGGGTTTTATTTTCCAACTGGTTAGCTCCATTTCAAGGATGACTTGGAATCTGACAAAAGTGCCAAACGCAAACCAATTAAAATGCCTGCTGAGAAAAACAAATAGAACATTTAGTTCTTTATGTCTCAAACTAGACTTTTCCCATTTATATAGTCAAAGTTTCTGGTCACAGATTTTGGGCACGTTTGATAGCTGTTATAGAAAACATAACTATAAAATAATTGATGAGTCTAATGTACAACAAATATACAAAAATAAAGACACATTTATTCTATAATCACCCAAAAAGAGAAGGCGAGAATATGTGAACAGTCTTTCTAGGAGCCACCTGAGTATGAGACACAGCTGTGCTACTGCTGCTGCAGGTGCGGTGACGCCGTGTAACAAAGCAGACACATGCTATTACGTAAACATCCTGTGTGTGATGAGTTAGAGCTGACAGTTCCGCTCAGCACGCAGGAATTATCTCGATAATAGTTACGAATGTGCCAGTTCAAACAGATCCATAGGAAAATGGGTTCTTCTATTTACTTCTATTCTGTGACTATAAAATGAAACTGTTCTAACAGGAGTACAAAGGCACTAAGACACGAGTGTGGTTATTTCATCGTGCGAGAAGAGAGCTGCTCACACACTGAAGGCGTGAATGTAACTTCACGTTTACATTAAGTACAACTTCAGGGAAGAGTGAAGTAAATGTCTTCTACTTGCAACACAGTGTCAATGGTTAAGGTTCTTATCCCGGGACAGTGACTGGTTCTCACTGGTTTCTTCTCAAGGGTTTTTCTGTTTGTTTTTTTGTTCATCTTCCCTCAGCTCTAGGCAGACATTAGTATTTCTCCATTTGTCCCAAAGTGACTTTCACAAGCCTTCACTGAAAGCACCATTCTGCTGAACAGTAATGATCTGCTCACAGTCTGTGTTTCTGACCAGCAGGTAGGCTCTGCGTCATTTCCTCACCGTCTCGGGGCCTGCGCCAACGTCGCTGCTCAGTAAATACTCGGGATGGCAGGAACAAGATGGATTATTCAGTACATGGCACTGGATAATGGGCCACTTGGAGGAAAATGAAGTTAGACTAGAACGGAGAACATAAAAATTACATTTGGCAGTGGCCCAAATAATATGAAAAGACAATTTAAAAATGAGCAAAAGATTTGAACAGGCATTTCTCCAAAGAAGAGACGGACAAGTTCATGAGAAGGTGAGCGGCTTCGTTAGCAGCGAGGACAACTCGCACCAAACCAGCGAGTGCGTGCTACTCGGTCCAAGAGCGGAAGCACCCAGCACGCCCTCCACAGAGGGCTCCAAACACGCCAGGGACAGCGCTCCGCCTGCACAGGGAAGAATCCTGTCCTGGGCCACCCACGGGAACCCTGAGGACGTTGTGCTGAGAGAAGTAAGCCAGACACGAGAGGACCGATGCTGCACAATTCCACAATGAGGTGCCCGAGGAGCCACGTTCATGGACAGTGGAATGGCGGTGACCGGGGTACATGCATCCACGGTACTTACTTCTGGGTCTTATCTTAAGGCTTTTGGCAGGGACAGCGGAACTACCTCTGGAGAGATTACTAAGCATCATTTTCACAAACTTCTTTCATTGATGTCCTGGTGAGTGGCGGACTCTGCACGCGGATCTGTCATTGATGCTCGTCCTTAGGCCTCTCGGAAGACAGCGAGGTAAGTGCAGGGGCCCCGCCCCTCAGTCAGAGGGGAGCCGAAGCTGGGCCCGGACGCCACTCCAGGCACAAAGCACACGGAGCTCTGAACGGCCATGTGGCCACTGGACACCGACTCGCCCGGAAGACGCGTTCCCCTGCTTCAGGGGAGGCGGGAGAGGAAGGCCCGCGGGACCGCTGTTTGCTGTACAGGGGATGCTGTGTCGTGTTTAGCAACCTGAGAATTTTTCTCAGTCACATGATGGGCTCTCGCGTTCTGTACAGAGCAAGCTAAAAACGGGCTTGTATCCTGTATCTCTTTTTGTTTTTACAAGACTTCCTCTGTCAAATGTGAAGTTTTGTATGGTAGCAACGGGGCCAGAAATGATAAGCCTTCAGTATGTCGTCGATACATGTTGCACATATGTTCCCGAATGTGCCTTCCTTGGTTTTTACACGGTTCAGGAAGGGATGAGCCCAGTGCTTGAGCGTCACTAATATTCTGCATGTAACACTTTCTGTAATACTTTCTATGCCCGGGACTGCGAGCGCTTCCCAGGACACGCAGCCCCGGAGCCTCGGGCGGCGGCCCGGCCTGGGTACCCTCCGACGTGGGTAGGAAGTCACGGGCCACAGCCTCAGGAGACTCTTAGGTTTTACACTCTTTACACGCGTCTTTTCAAGCACACGCCCTAGAACAGTATAAGGAAGCCCACGGACACACGGCACAGCTTCAACTGTCAGCAGCACGTGGCCGACCACGTCCACGGCCACTTCCTGCTCCCGGGCCCCGCAGGGGAACCGCAGGCCTGCGTTCCCGTGCCAGCGCATGGCTGTCCGGCTGCTCCTTCTGTAAGGAGGTGGCCTTCTCTGAGCGGCCACGTGTGTCCACGCTGCCGGCCACTGTGGCCCTGTTTCTGATCTGCTTCAGGGAGAACCCCGCCCTAACTGGACTAGGACTCCGATTTTTTATTTGCTATTATTTTTAAATTTATCTTTATTGCTAAAAGTATTACAGATGTCCCCCTTTTCCCACCACAGACCCCCTCCACCCAAGATAAGCATACCAAATATACAGCATGTTTAAAAAATTTATTTTAGCCCTAGCCAGTTTGGCTCAGAGGATAGAGCATCGGCCTGCAGACCAAAGGGTCCCAGGTTCGATTCCTGTCAAGGGCAAGTCCCTTGGTTGCAGGCTCCTCCCCGGCCCAGGCCCTGGTCACGTGCAGGAGGCAACCAATCAATGTGTTGCTCTCACAGAGATGTTTCTCTCTGTCTTTCCCTCTCTCTTTGACTCTCCCTAAAATTTAATGGAAAAAATATCCTTGGGTGAGGATTAAGACAAAAACACCCAAAAGAAACAAACAAAAAATTTTTAGTTCTAAAATAGCCAAATAATCCCCTTCGAAATGGCCGAGGGGACAGTCACATGGACAGTAAGTGTAGACTCATGCTAGCTTCCTGTGGCCTCATGGGTAATGGAGCCGGGAGTCATCCTCGCTCATTCAAATGAGAGGGCATTTGCTAGAAAATTCTCAGAAAGCAAAATTACATGCTCTGTCATTTTCATTTCTCAAATCTCCTAATACTCACTCATATTTCTGTGGCTTTTCTATGTTCAGCTAATTAGGACCATTTCAAAACTGTAATATTCATATGAAATACATGTCACTTCATTAACAAATAGACTGATGGCTATCTTGGTGTAACTGTAATGACAGCAATAACAGAGGCAGTTCCCTTCTAACACCAGTTCATGGTAAAACTCCCAGCAAACCGGAAACGGGCGACTTCCCCCACACAGAGCGCCTACAGGGCCCACGGCTCATCATGCTCAATGGGGAGACGGGCGGCTTCCCCCTGATCAGAAACAGGCATGGACGTCCGCTCTCACCACGTCCACACAGGGACGGGCATTCTCGAGAGAGCAAGAGCAGGGGAAAGGCATAGCCCTGAGAGAAAGAAATGGAACCGGCCTCTTTACAAACGACATGACCGTCTATGGAGAAAGTCCCCGGGAACCTAAAAAACACGCCCATGCGGAAACCAGACCAAACAGCAGTAACATTTACAATCACTTCGAAGGGAACAGACACAGGCAGACGCTGACAGCGCGCGTGCAGGGTTTGTGTGTGGCCGGGGTCAGCGAGGGACGGAACCCTGGGCACTGAGTGAGTGCGTACACCGGGGAACGGAGCGAGGAGGCATCCCCAACAGGAAGGTGACGGAGAGCCTTTGAGGTGATTGGGTTGGGAACGGGAGTCATGGTAGGAATTCGTGTGAATACGAATGACAAAGCACAAACCGAACACTCACCGATGACTTTCACAAAGTAGGCATCTGCCTCGAAGTTGTTCTTTAGCGCGTGGATGGCCAAGTCGCTCCTCGTGTGCCCTTTACTGAGCACCACGATGTCCAGGATGCCCTGGGGAACAGACGGAGCGGTGAGAGCCAACCCCGAGCGGCTGGGAAGTGCTGGACACGCAGGGCACGTTTCTCACCTAAATGTGAACCGTACTCAACCCCATGTTCCAAGTACAGTGGGGCCTTGACTTACGAGCTTAATTCGTTCCGAGACCGAGCTCGTTAAGGAGCTCGTTAACTCAAATTACTCTATCAACTCAATGCAAAAAATTGGCCGAGAGACAGCTGGTATCTCAAAAAACTCATTAGTCGGGACACTCGTAAGTCAAGGCCCCACTGTACAAATGCCATTAACAAGATCTAAGCCCGGAGTAGGAAAACACAAGTGAAAAACATTGCTAATTTAGATCCCCGGGGATTACAGCGCTTTGCTAGACTTCCTTCCAGGCTGACGTGAAGGCCCGGGACAGGGACAGGGACGTCCACAGCATGGCCACACCCGGGCAAAGAGCACCGACTGCCCGGCCGCCGCTCCTGCTCCCTTTCCCTGCGGAGGGGAAGCTCCGCTCATCCTATTGGAGGAAAAGGTGCGCCCTTCAGCGTCTCTGCCGCCCCCTCGTGAGGCTGACCAGTGACCAGCTTCCCCCGTTAGCCGCCTGGGTTTCTCCTGTAAACTGACGATGTTCTTTTTCTCGAGGGAGTTTTGGTGACTTCTATCAGTTTATATAAACCCTTTTCAGAGTAAGGATATTAATTATTTGATTCTTTCATAGCAAATTTATTTCCCAGAGTCAAAAACAATTTTAAATTTCATTCATTTAAATTTCATTTGGGAGGTCTTTTCTGTAGAGGAATTAAAAATTGATTTGTAGGCCATTCCCTGGGACCTTTTCGCCAGTTATTTCTATGCTTGAAAACTGCCAATAAAGGTGAAATAACAGGAGGTTTGGTGGCAGAGACACAGAACAAGGGCCTGGATAATCCATGACTGAGAACCAGCCGCTTGTAACAAACAACACGAGCAAAGGGGGGTTAGGACAGACGTGCCCGCCCTGCCTGGAATGATGAGGGCACTCACAGGCTGCCTGCATCAGCGCTGGAGCCGAACGCATTTGTATCAGACACACGACTCTCCTGAGCGGACACCTGGCTTTCACGGGAGGAGGGAGCCAGGCCCTGCGTGCCTTTCCCACGCTCACCGCAGCTGAAGGCCGACGCGCAGCCCCGGGCACAGGTGCGCCCGTAGCTCACACCGCGAGGAGCCCGAGCCACTCCCGCCCTGGGCAGGTGCAGGGGCTGGTACCTGCGGGCGGCGCTCCGTCTGCGGTGCACACGCCCCTGCCCGTCTCAGAGCCTCTCTCGGGGGGCAAACACGCACAGCAGGGGTGTTTTCACGTTTCCCTGCGCTGCTTGGCCAGTGGTGTCGGAAGTGTGTCCCCCTCCTCCAGCCTCAGAGGGGCTTTCCTGAACGAACGCATTTGCTTTCAGGGCCTCATCTATTTCCTGGTCAGACAGGGTGAGTGAGAGAGCGGGGAGCGATCAGACCCGCCCAGCGTGGACTCACGTCTTCGTAGATGTCGAAGAAGGTGGCGACCTGGGCCTCCCTGATCTGACTCAGGTCCGACAGCTCCCAGTACACGCGGAACATGCGGTGCGCCCCCTCGCAGCTGGCGTTGTTACAGGGCACGTTCTCCAGCAAGAAGGCCTGCTGGCTGCTGCAAGGGAGGACCAGCATTTAGGACGCGGACACAGACAGGCTACTCAGACGTGAAGGGTGAGACATCACGACAGGGCACCCTGATCATCCGCTCGCAGGAGGCGCCGTGCGGTTAGGGAGCTGTGCCGCGGCGATCGGGCGGGGAAGAGGAAGGGAGGAGGGACAGGGGTGGGGATGAGGGGTGGCTGCCCGTTTCCCTCCGAGTGGCTGGGTGTGAGGCATCAGCTGAGATGGGGTTCGGGAGAGAGGATTGCTTCAGGTTCGGGTGCGATGGGGAGTCCAGGGGCAGGTCCACCGGCGGCTACACACACAGGCACAAGAACTAACCACATTTAAATTTCAATTCTATCTTCTTGGGGAAAGTTTGACAACATGCTGAGTTAAGATAATTACGTACCTTAAGGAAAGGGCATTATCCCATCAATGAAAACGCATTAAACCAGGAATGTATACACAATCACCTATTAAACCCTTTCTTAAGCAGAGGACAAAACATTTAGATAATTAACTAACAGAGAAAAAGCAGATGAAAATCATTAATTAGAGCTTCTATGAAGCTGAAAACTTTCTCCTCGTCAGGTCTTTCTTGGCCTTGAGTGGCCCCAATTTAAGATTCACGCTCATCATGCGAAGTCCTTCTACCCTGCCTGGGAGGTGAGAGAAGTCTCAGTTCTTGAAATAATGATGGCTTGGAAACTGCCGCGTCATGGCGTAGCCGTGATCATGGAAATTTACAGCAAATGTCACTAATTAGCAGTGACTCCCATGTTAGGGCACTCGGGGCAATAAGGGAAGAACACGGTTCAGAGACTGAAACTGCTCTCCCGGAATTCCCCCCCGGCCGCCACGCGCCAGGAGGCGAGCCCGGGCCCCAGGCCCCTCCTCACTCTGTGGGCGCCGTGGCACATGAAGTGATGTCCCTGGGGTCTACTTGGTTCGGACCTTCACTTACTCGCGAGGGAGGGAGGTAGTTTCTAAGGCCTATGGCCACGGCATTGTCACAGTAACAGTTTCCTGCTCACAAACCACGCGCCACATTTCCCACAGGAACCCGAGCGCGTCAGCCTGCCGTTCTGCTCTGTGAGGGGGACGCTGGTCGCCCACCTCCTGAAAGGACTTAGAATGAGTAACAGATGTGTTTTCTCGGAAGGTGAGAATCCCCGGCCTCTCCCTTACGTTTCCTCAACTGCTGGTTTTGTTTGTCAAAGGACACCACGTGTGGGCCTAAACAGAAATGCTGGCAGTAAATCTTTTTCTGGTGATAATTGTGGTAGGACTTCCAATACTACGCTGAATAAGAGAGGTGAGCGCGGGCATCCATGTCTTGTTCCTGATCTTAGAAAAAACTTCCAGCTTTTCATCACTGACTATGTTAGCTGTGGTTTGTGGCCCTTACGGTGTTAGGTATGTCCCTTCTATGCCCACCTCACTGAGAGGTTTATAATACATGGATGTTGAATTCTGTCAAGTGGTTTTCCTGCATGTACTGAGATGATCATATGACTTTTATCCTTCATTCAGTTTATGTGATGTATTATGCTGCTTGATTGGTGGATAGTAAACCATCCTTGCATTCCTGGAATAAATTTCAGTTGATCATGGTTATGATTTTTTTATGTATTGCTGAATTTTTTTGGAGGATTTTTGCATCTATGTTAATATAAGAGGGTGGCTTGTAATTTTCTTTTTTGGTAATGTCTTTCTCTGGTTTTGGTATTAGGATAATGTTGGTCTTGTAGAATGAATTTGAAAACTTCCCCTCCTCTTCAATTTTTAAATTACTTAGAACAGGATAGGGATGAATTCTTCTTGGAATGTTTGGTAAAACTCACCTGGGAAGCTGTCTGGTTCTGGACTTCACTGAATAAAAAATAAATTTTTCGCTTTCTATTAGATGTCCACCTTTGTTCTACAGAAAATAAATCTGTGAAAAAGAACTAGTGTTCTTTTATTCTCTTTCTTTTAAAAAAATATA